AATAACACCACTGTTGAACTATAAGCACAATACAATTACCTACTCATCTATCTCGCGTTGGAGGTATTTCAAGCATAACATAACCGATATAACGTATATAACACCTAATATTATGAACCAATAACCAATCAATATCACGCCCAAATTCACTTCATAAGACAGAGTTCACGAATCCGCATGGATTAAGCAGATTAGTTCTGAGGCACTAATTAAAACCACATTAGGCGTATCATCACGTATGTAGGTAATAAATGCTTTAGTATGTGTTCAGTGACTAGATAAGCTAGAGCTAGTCACTGTGTCTCTAGGTGCTAATAACTCGTGTCATATGTACCTACTGGTGTATAATGTATAAAGCTGTGAAAAATATTCTCAACTGCCATGATATTGCCTTAAAACTTTTAAAAACAATATATTGTTAATAGTCTGTGAAAAAATCATGATGAAATGATGACAGTTCACCACTGGACTGCGACAGCAAAAAGGTTTATCATAGATTCCACTATTGGCAAAGGAATCAGATATTAAACATGATGATATGTATGTAAGTTCCAAACAAAATGAACAGAATTTTTAAGTCACAAAAAAAATTGCCAACAATAAAATCCAACGACAAAGTCAGGTGACTTGCTAAGCTACCGTCTAAAATAAACACCCTTTATTATAACCCAGTCATAAAGAACGACTGACAGACAGCATTACATAGGGACGAGATTATAAAATAATGAAGGACGCATGTAAAATATTATATTTCACCTGTTTTTTTATTATACTCAGCAAAATCTGACGATACAGCTTTAGTATCACTTTTTTATAATACAATAGGTAAAGATAGAAAAACGAATACGTAGTTTAGAATAGGTATTATCATAATGTAATGATCCTATTTATTAATACTAGTTCTTACTCCATTTGAGATAGAGTGTCATTTCATTCAATATCTAAGAAAAAATACATAAGACAAAAATCCAGATTAGTATGCAATATATAATTGTATATATTTTCAAACGTTTATTAATTTCAACAACATTTTTCTTGTGTCGAATATTTTCTATCTCTTTTTTACACAAATCGTTGAAAATAAAATACATCATAACATGACATATCATAACATTACGCTTTTTATCCCCAGAAGGTTAATCAGAGGTGCACATTATGGCACTTAATGCCACTGTACAATGTAACACCCACTTTTCACTATTTATGTTATAAGTCCCATGTGATGGAATGACCCTATTGCCATATACCTGGCAATACAATTCCACAATTCCGTGCTATAACTGAGAATTTTTAAAAACCCAGTAATTCTTTAAATTCGGGAATTCAACCCGAGACCCCTTGCCCAGCAGTCACACTTGCGACCACTCGGCTAACAAGTTAAAATAAAATATGTTTTAAAATAACTCTCTTTCAGTCCAAAGATAGGGAAATTAGAAAAACTCGTGGCATCGTTGTCGTAAGCTAGGCTAGGCCAAAAGGAACCCTTTACGAAAACGGAAATTAGTATTTCCTTTGTGTTGTTGATAAAGAGATGAATATGTGGGTCGCAGACACATTTCAAATGGACACAATGCTCTAGCTAATTTGTTATTTTCTGTTTTAGTTGGGTTTAAGAGATTTGTTGAAATATGTTCTTAGTTTAAAATACGTTTCAGTATACTAATTAAATTGTAGTGTATATTCATCAACAGCCTATAAATTCCCACTGCTGAGCAAAGCCTCTTCTCATACGGTGATGGTTTGAGCATTAATCACCATGCTTGCTCAATGCGGGTTGGCGATTACAAACTTATAATTAGAAATTATAAGCCCAGGTTTCCTCACGATGTTTTCCTTCACCGTTTGTCAGTGGTGTCTAAATAACCTTAGAATCTTAGAAAGTACATATAACTCGGAAAAATTCACATTGGTACTTGCCGTTGGTAGGTTTCAAACCCACATTCTCATGCATAAGAAGCCAGCATCCTAAACCTCCGGGCCACCACGACATATACAGTGTATAAATATTATTGCAAACATTTCAATAAAGAAATCAAATGTTAAAAAAAAAGAAATTGCTAGTTCCAGTTCCAAAAGACAAAAAGCATTTATCATCATAACTTCTTACTTACTAAAGTTTATTAATACTTTTGAACAGGCAATACAAAAACCAACCACCAATAATGAAATCTTCACAATAATTATTCAAACAAATTATTATTCGTTACATATTTACCTTATGAATGTAAAACCGGTATATCTAAATAGAATGTAAATGTATCAGCTGGTTTACTTCCCACGTGTATCGTTATGTTAACGTCAGGACGCCATTTTGACTCGGAACTCGGAAGTCGTAACGATAAACCTCATAATATTATCCGCGACAACATACCATGTTGTAGATGGATAAGGCTTTACTGATCGCTTGTCGTGTATGAGAGAAATTTGCAACTATGAGCCGTGTGACAATGGCGTCAAGATCTGAAGATTGTTGGAAGAAAAATTGGGTACCTAACCCAATTTTCATCCTAACACAACTTATCATTTTCTACTCCGAAATATGTAAAAAATCTTGTTTTATAACCAAGTAATACTAAGTTACTTTAGTTACCTACTTGAAATATTTCATTTAAAAGAAAATATAATTTGCTTTCAAACATGATTACCTATATTTTATTCTGTCCTAATTTTCTTGCATTCAAATCTTCTCTATGAAAAAACCTTCAACGAAACTTTACGTCTAACAAACTTTGTACGAATGCAATATTAAGGTTGGTTTGAACTTCTACAATATTAACAAACAAAAATATTCATGAGTCCAAAAACGTCGGTAAAAACCAAGGTTAAAGGCCCCCATAAAAATGTTAACGAAAAATATTCATTTTTTTTCAAAATGAAATGTTACAGGCATTAAAAAATGAACTTTGTGAACATAATTTTAACCTTGAATTCAAAATATGTAATTAAAACCATAGTAAAAGCTTTACTGTGGTTTTACTGTAAAACCATTGTTATTCCTATGTAACTTTCTCACTTTATTAACTTATTTTTTTAATAATAACAATGTTTATTTATTGGCATTGGCCGACTCCAATTTATTGTGACGAGTTTATAAATTGAAAACCCCATTTTTTACTAATTGTACTAACATTACTAGGAAATCATAACTGTTTACAATAACATAGTTAACTAACTACCTATTACTCATTTTGTCAACACCATTATAAATAGTAATAAAATAATATGTAGAGGTAATAAAATAATATAATAAATAAATCTTTTATTGAATCTTTGTTTATATTGTGTATACTGTTTGTATTTTAACTATAAAATTTTAAATATAAAATCGTATAATCTAGAATCTTCAAGAACGAAAAGCAGTTAGAAGCAGAAGACAGCGAAGGAGTCCAGTATCTTGGCTCACTCTAAGTATGAACGCCAAGCATATTAAAAAGAGTTTGGTGTTCTACCTTACAGTGAACTGAGTTCTAGACAATCATCAGAACTTCGGAAGAAAGAAGATTGAAATAAGAAAGAAGAATTGGGAAGAAAAAATTTACTACAGAAGATTATGCCCTTCTTTGTTTTTTTTTTTTGTTATATTTAATTTTGGATTCCGTTCAAATTGTAGTATTAACAAAATTACTATTTTAAATGTATTTACTATTATTTGTTCTGTAATACATAGTACTTTTATTGTAAGTCAAGTCCAATTGATAATTCCAAAAATATTCCGAATCCATCCCGATACTTTCTACCTTTCTACAACTTAATTAACGAAGTCATCTGACAATACAAATGCACCTAAAACTAAAAATATGTTTTGAAAATACAGCACAGACTATTTATATAAAATATTCAATAAGGCCGGTGCATATTTGATATGTTCTAGTTTTATAAAGACGGTCCCGACCTCACAAGCCGAAGCCCGAGCCGGACACTTCCGCGCACTCTATGTAAATATTTTATTCACATCTCAACCCTTTAACGGCTGAACGCCAGATTTCCCTATAAGTATAGAAAATATTAATAAAAATGTTACAGTTCCCCTGTTTACTTAATATTCATCTCACATGAATTCCTAAGCTCTCTCGCAGCCCGTCTGATTGAAATTGTAATTTTCGTTTCACATTCTGCCAATAAAATGCTACGTACGTTCAGTGTCGGTAAATTTCGCTTGATTTTGACAACCCGATTGAGTCTCAAAGTGATGTTTTAAAGCTATGAAAGGAATAATACAGCTTGATAATATTAAGAACAATGCTGGTTGATATATCGTTTAATTTAAGATATATATTTGTTATATTGATTTTTTATTACCTTAACTATTTCTAATAAAATATACTAAAGTAAACCTACTATTGAAAAATCTATGTGTGTACTTTTATCTAGTAAATAGATTCCACCGTTCGTACTCCGTACAAATATTAAAAAGGAACGCTGTATTGTATACAAGATTATGTACCGATATTGACATGTATGTGTACTAAATGTATTTCTAGATTGAATATACTTGTAGTATATTATTGTCATATATATTTGCCAAACAACTAAGTTTCATCTTGTAGTTTAAAGGTATAGTCTGTAGAGGTCGCTAACTTGTGTAATGATCAAAACTCGGAGTTTCGCTCAAATGGGCACTTAACGAAGCTAAATAAATTAATAGTCAATAAAAGGGCTCGGATCGTAACCTTCCAGCAAACGATAACGAAATTAATTTCACTGAAAAATTCAAAGAGAACGTTTGAGGTTGTTTTAATAAGTATTTAGAATTTAAGAGGTATTGGCTCGTGTAACTAAAATATTGTTATTTTTGAGGCATAAGTACCTAAAACAACTTAATTTACATATTTATAACCCAGTCTGTGTGGTTTTCTATGAAATAAAGGTATTTTATCGAATTAGATTGTAACGCACGTGCGACCAAAAGCAAAGACTAATTACTTGAACCTTTATTCTTTTTATACAAACATCCAGAGCCTTGTTTAAATATTTTACTAAATTGTCCTTTGTTTCTCCAGATGAATTCTGCGAAGAGTACCCGCACAGTTTGATCCCGACTCCCGGTTACTGGGTCGAATGTTCTCGCCAGAAGATAGCCACAGACACAATCTGGGATGAATCCGAGTCTGAACACGACAGTGGACCTGACCGGGATAATGCTGACGGTAAGTCTAGTCGATGTAGTATTTTGCAACAATATTCAAGGGATAATTACCTAAATTAGTTAACTTACTCACTAGAGTCTACTTCTAAATGTAATTTAAAATTAATTACTTGACTACCGGTATACCTATGAAAATATGTCTCACGTCGATCCGCATTCCGAGTTTAATCCTGATTGACAATAGACTTTGGTCTTTTGTCTGAAAATCGTGGTCCCGGTGGGACGCAACACCTGCATCCTATTTCATCATTGTAGTTATGGTATAAAAATATAGTGTATATTAAAAATTCATGACAATATTTATGTAAATTTTAAAAAGTATGTCCAAATATTTCCACATTCAGATACAAACATTTTACCGTATTCCAAAGTAAAAGGCCACCAAAATAAAGCTAGTTCCACAATAGAGGTACAGTCGTCTGTTCTAGAAATTGCAATTATTTCACCTCCACTTTCCGACGCAATATTTTTATTTGAAACTAAGAAACTGTTATAAGTTTCCACGACAAGTTTTTCTATGTACAATAATTAGCTAAGATGGAGTGTACTTGAGACACTTATCTAAGACTTTTATCCGTTATTTAAAATGATGTTCTATGGAAAAATAAGTATTTTTCTATTGCTATAAGATATAGATGACCTCAGTTATAGATGCATCTGCATTTAAACTGTCAAACACCGCGAGGACACCGGTAACCGCAACCTATTGTTCTTTAATTGTGTCTATAATGATGGTACTCAAAGGGTTAATATAAAATCCTCGACTTTTACGACTGAGTTTTTGTAGCAGTAGGTAATGTGTGGCCGCAACAGAAAATGCTTCACTTTATAACGAATGCATGTGTTTAGAACTTAAGTTTTGTTTCTATTGAAGTATTCAGTAAATATTTACAACTTTAAACCCTACCTTTGTTCCACTAGCATTCATTCATACTATTATTCACAAAAGACACTTTTTTTAAACAAAACAAAATTAATACACATGTGAAAAACAATAGCGTTGACAAGATTATAAACTATCTTTACCTATCTTCTAAATTCGCTTAGCAGTTTCTGCGCAAATAACAAACAAACATTTCCATTAATGTGGGAACTAACCGCTTTTAACTTAAAACTAGGACATTAAACAGCTAAAAACGAATACAAGGTTCGCCGTTTATTAAATAAGGGGTCGCACCGGTGATTCCTCCCCTGTCATATTAGCTCTAAGAAGAAAATGAAATTTTATACTTTCTCAGTAGGTGCTTCCATTTCGTTACGGCGGTTGAAGTCAACTTAATAATAATAATAATAATAATAAATCTTTATTAGGCATTCCAGTGTTTACAGTAAAAATTTACAATGACAGCCGCACTAGGCAAAGCCTGTATCGCGGCTATCAACAATACGATTTCCTTAGGACTAATGCGATCAAAATACTAATACAAAAAAAAATTAAGTAAAATATAACAAAAAGACAATTAATGTATGAAGGGTATGTGTGTGAGTGTGTGAGTGTGTAAGGGTGAGTGAGGGTGTGTGTGTTATGCGCAAGAGTATTTTCAGCATCTTACTGTGTGGGTTTTAATAGCTGTTCTACTTCGTTGTATGTTAAATCATTTAAATACTTTGCAACTTTTGTCTGCATTACGTGCACCGTATCTTCTTTAGATTTACAATTTTTACAGATTTTGTTGTATAAATAAGGAAATAGAAAATTAGAAAATCTTTGTGCAAAGGAAGTATTGACTGTGGGTACCGGGATTCTAAATATTCGATTAGTCAGCATTTGATTGTAAAATTCAGATTTCAATATTTGTTTATGTGTAAGACAGACTGCAGCTTTTATGTAAAGGCGGCGAATACTTAGCAAGTTCGTCTCATTGTAAATATGTGCTGTGGAATACCTTATGGGCTTCTTTAGCATAACCTTTATCACGGACCGCTGAGCTCTTTCCAATGAGATTAAATGTGACGCAGCTACACCCCCCCAAGTACTGATACAATACGTTAGAATCGATTGGCAAAGAGAGATGTAAATATATTTAGCTAGATCTGGGTTTGCTACGTCTCTTATTTGTTTCATAACATATATTATCTTTCTAACCCTAGCTGATAAAGCTGCTGTGTGATCACTGAATGTAAGTTTTTCGTCAATATTGACTCCTAGATATTTTATGGTATGAATTCGTTGTATGAAGTTACAATTACAGGAACTAACATTAGGTGGTTTATTGCAAGTACTCTCATGAATCTTGATATCAGATGTGACCAACGGGGATGAAACTGCGGTTTTATGAAAACATACGTATTTCGTTTTTGCAGTGTTTAACGTTAATAAATTGTCAGATAGCCACCCAAAGACTTTCGTCATTCCGTATTCCACACTTCTAAAACATTCACTCCAATCTGCTTCATGGAACACGATTGCGGTATCATCGGCATAGCAAATAATCTCAGCATTTTGCAATGAGAACGACGCAAGATCATTTAAATATATTAAAAACAACGTAGGACCAAGAACACTGCCCTGAGGTACCCCAAAGGACAGTCCCCTGGAGGAACTAACCCAGGAATCAATTTTTAAACATTGCTGTCTTCCAGTGAGATAACTCTGGAACCAATCAAGGGCAATGCCTCTTGCGAATGAAATTATTAACATTTGATGGGTGTACCACCCCATTACTTTTCTATTATATTTATTACTTGCTGTGTGCCCCTGAGTTTGATTGCTTTATGGGTATCGTGACAAAAAACTTACTACACATACCTACTATAATAATCTCTGTACCACGTCATAATGTGCTCAACCATTTTGATGAGTTTGACGAGAAATTTTTATACGCGCGTTTTACTTTACAAGTGATGGAGTACCTATATCTAGAGGTGATGTCTCCCTCCCGCCTCACCCAGGCGGGAGCAGTCATTCGATGATTTTCCCCCCTTAAAAAAAAAAATCTAGAGGTGATGTTGTGTACTGACTACATTTTTCAAGTTCTCCAATACTAATATTACATATCTATTAATTTCTGGAAATAATTGTATAACAGTACCCGGTATCTGCATCGGAAGTAACATGCATAACTTTACTTTCAATCCCCTAATAAAACCTAATTTAAACGAAATAAACAAAACTCCTTAATAAAAAATCAACAAAAGTTAAAAGAAAAGTCGCGTACACACTGAAACAAAGTTAGCGTACTCTTGAATAACTGAAAGTAAGAGTTCAGAGATAATTCTTTCGCTGTCACATTAGCGAACAGTCGAGAGTCAAATTTAATTTGGCTTCTTTTTCCGGCGCGTGGGCTAAGGTGAAGCTCATCCAATATGTAACGACCTTTACAATTCCAGACGTGAACATTCACAGTTCAATTTTCAATAGAGGGGAATGCGATTCAAAACTTGCGATTCCGCGAATATTTGTGACTTTATGTCACAAATATTTGCAGAGAAGTTTTGTAGCACCTTAAGAAATGCATAGGTATTGACATACTAGAAATTTTATAATAAATACAATATGCATTTCCAGTGTCTGGTTATTCTGAAATAAAAGTAGCCTATGTTATTCCTTAGTATATCAGCTACCCGCTAATAAAAGTCCCGTCAAAATCGGTCTTTGATTTCACTGATTAGCCAATACAAACAGACAAACAGAGATAAAAAAATTAAAAAGTTTTATTTTGGCACATGTATTGTAAACATATTCATATTCTTGTAGTAATAAGCGGTTATTTCAATATTACAAACAGACACTTCAATTGTATCTATGTAGGTATAGATAAGAAACACATTGATATGAGGAACACACTCAATTCTAAGTTTCGTATGAAACACCATCTCTAAGTCATCTATTATTATGATACGTTGTGAGCAACGTACAGCAGATGGGACATTGAGAAAATGTACAACACTACGTATGAAATAAGAGCATTTCTGTTGCCTTATCCTAGAATTACAGTTACATCTTTTTTTCACGTAGTCAGTTTATTTTGTCCCGACGCATTTTGTGAGGACAACCGCTCTATACATATGTATACCTGCTTACACATTCCGGGGAATGTTTTACCTGAATATTGATATTGTCATGTACGATGATGAATATGGCCGGCGAAAAAGGCCGTCATTCAAGACCGAATGAGAAAATAAAACGATATTCGACCTATTTTTAGGGCGAGTGTACTGTAACCACGTATTTTTTGTGATCTTCAATAAGTCTTATATCTTTTTGGCCACGTTCAATCAAAAATTCGTAGATATTCCAGCTAACAATATCATAAATTAAAAGTAACAACAAACATTTTCATGATCCCACGTTCAATTTTCTAACAAGTGACGTTTTTGCCTTCGTCTCGTTTAGATTATAGAAGAAAAAGCTTTCCGTAGACATAACAATACCTATCCTAAAAGAATAACAGACTTATTACCGATATCAACGAAAATGTGAAAATATCAAATCATCTCGGTAACATGCCTTCAGGACAAAATAGTTTCTATTATAGCGAAGATCGAACAGAAGCATCCAATCAGAACGAGGCGCTTCACGAAAATAATAAGACTGATAGTCTGGAACACCACAAAATACGACGTCTTTCCAAAAAATTTGCTCTCCAATGCGATAAATACACCACATTTGAAATATGTTCATCGACTTTGTTGGTTTTACAAAGTTAAAACCGCAACGAAGCTCAGTAAAAATAAATTTAACGAAGAATTTCAATTTATTGACCGCAAATAACACGAAATGAGTGTACAAAATACCGGTGTTTGAGTGCTAATTAAACTGTGTACTCTGTAAATATGGTAACTATTCGAAATGTTTCATTAACTTACAGTGATGAACAAAATGCAAACATGGAGTATTTACAGAATTTATGAAGTCAGGGTTTAATGTTGCGTCGGAATGAAATATTTAAAATAAAATCCCGTCTGGCTTTTGATATTTATTCTGTATGTAATGACTGTTAGCATGGAGACGAGGGAAAATGGTGTTCGCGGAGACGCTGAACTTCGAAGCGCATTGGT